CAGACTGTCTTATTAACCAGGGGAGTGAACATCCCAAACCAGCAGCCCAAACTCAGCAGACAGGTTTCAGAAAGTTGTGTTTAGTGTAAGTTTGAGACATTCTGGTTCTTTTCCTGTATCAGAGGGCCATAAAACAATCAAAGAGAATAACTCAGCATGTTGTGTGAGGCTCCTGGGGGACCCACACGTCCTGCTCCTGGCTGACCATAACATTTCTGCACTGTCCAAATTCGGGCTTAAAGAGTTTCAAACTGTCAGCCATTCTCCCCCAATTGCCAGCATGGTCCAATGGATGTGCTCAACAGCTGGTTATGAGCAGCATGTTAATGCTTCAGAGAGACAACAATTGTCAGCCTGGTGTCCATAAAACACCTGCTCTCAGCAGGAAGCCACAGGATGGAAGGTAACTCCTCCAGTAATAACTCCTCTCTCACAATGCTTAAATCAGTGGAAGATTTATAGAACAGTTCTTCCTCACTTTACCCTTTCAGGTACTTTAACCCCAAGAACAGAAGCAGATGAGCACAATTCTATTTGCATTTGCATCTCTAAAGACCTTCTGAGAAGGAAAACATGTAAATGCCTCACATATTTCACATCACCTCATTCAGAGGAGTGCAAGTAAGGCTCAGTCTTCACCTATTCTCTTTACAGCTTTCCAGTTTAGCAACTCCACATATAAATATTCATTAAGATGTGCCCTTTACCCTAAAAGAAAAAGGTTAATGGATACGTCTGCAGAGTTTTTCCTTCCCTTTCTGAATCCTGGGCATCTTGGAATCCAATATGCAAATACCCATCTTGCAGAGAATAATCTAAAACATAGCAGGGAGTAAATTCAATTTTTCAGGTTTCCTACTAGGGTCAGAAGTCACTTGCAGAGGCTTCTCTTCATCAGTGAGGTTTCAGTGAATAATTTAACCAGCTTATTACTCCTTTGTGTTTTTAATTAAACACAGAATGGCCTGGTAGCCCTCCAGCTGTTATTTGTGAGCACACAGCTTTCTATTTGCTCCTGAACAGCCTCAGGAGCCATTCATGGTGTCACCTAGGGGAAATATCCAACTGGAGTCTCATCCTACTTCACCTCCCCACCCAAAACTGACCAACAAGGAATGAAAGTCTCACTGTGAGCCTGACACATTTAGCGGACTCCTCCTGAATATTTACATCAACACAGCTTGCTGCTACATAGTGAAGGGGCAGATTTTGGGCTCTAAATCCATTTCACTGTAGCAGTACAATCAGCTTACAGGTTTCCAGATATTTGGCATGGCATCAGGTTTCTAAAGTTAAAGTCCTAGACCTAGAGGTTACAAGCATATTAAAAAGGTAGGTGGGGGGGGAGGGGGGAAGGAAAATTTAGGAAAAAAGTTTTTAATGCTTCCTGTAACAAAATCTTTGAAACAATCCTCTTATGACTTAGCCATTTGTTCTGTCATAGTGAGCTCTCCCATTGTGAAACATTCTTCAGAAAGAATGACATATGGGACCCTGAACATCCTTGGCATATTCCTCCAGATGCTGATCTTGGGCAGTGGTGGAGAAGAACCATCAAGAGAGATTAAACAGCTGACAGGCAATGCTGACTCCATCTAATTTATGCTCTTGGGCTCTGGACCATGCAAGGCCAGAGCAGCTAAGGAGCAGGCAGACACAGCTTCAGGTGAAACTCTATTAAATCACTGTTGAAACGAGGAATTCATTGTGGCTGGCATTTTAAATATCTTGATGGCCTTTTCTAAGTGTTTTCGTGGTCTAAAGAGTCAAAGGTTGGGAGCAAAATAGCTCACAAAGCTCATCTGGGAAGAACTGGCTAGCAGAATTCACTGATCAAAACAGTTTCCACCTTCTGCATCCCCAAGTAACATGTCTGTCCAGTCTATATTATTTTTATTACCTCTAATTTAGGAAGGAAAACAATCCTCAGATTTACCACTATATTCCACATTACTATACACACAGACTGCACAAATTATCAGACTCTCCAATTAGAATTTCTCTGCATTAATTAAGATTTCGATTCTCCAAGTTTTACTGTAATACATTTGAAGCATGAAAACAAAGTCTTTATCATCATTAAACTGATCCAACAAAATGCTAACAAAGATGCATGATTATCATTGTCCTGTCCATCAAATGATGATTCAAATTAACAGCAAACCTCTAATTGCTACAAAATATCCACTTAGAACAACAAAATAGTATATCTAAATTACTGACTTCAAGAAAAGTTGTATTAATCTTATTTTATTATCTTCAGTTTAAGAGCTCCATTCTATTGGAAAATAAAAATCTGCTAAAACTTACTGAAGAAATGAAATTTAAACCAGGCATTCTATGCCTTACTACCTTAGGCCAATCATCTCCACTACATCAAAAAACAGAATATATACACACACCTTTTCAGTGCTGGGAATAACACCTATTTCTCATCTATTAAATCTGTGTGCAACAAAAAAAGACATTTCCCATAGAGATATGAACCCCACAGCTCACAGAGCTTCTTTTTGTCCCTTGTTGCTGAAGGCTTGAACTTTTAATTTGGCCACTTTTGGTATGCTGTTAAAAAAAGCAAGCCTTTAACTACAATATCACATATTTTGCACAAAGAAAAGAAATTGAGAAGAGTTCTTGGGTTTTCCATAGTCAAAAACTATACTGGCTAGGGAACAACTGCACTCTTACACTTGTTCCCACACATCTTGCTCCTGATGAAATAAAGATACTCTTTATTGTCCTCTTTGCAGGGTCTCTTTTCATGGACATGGGGAAAATTGAAAAAGATTGACCAAAAAAATTGATGCCATCAAGAACAGAACCATGATAATTATCAGAAGCAACAATTAATAAAGGGTTTGCCCTGTGACATGTCTGCACCCTCTTCAGCTCCCATGCAAAGCTATGGACTGAGTGGAGCTGTTAGAGAAACATCAAAAATTATCAACCTGAAAGTTCTGCTATTACATTGATCTAATGTAAGCATGGTGCTCTTCAGCAGTGCCCCAAATCTTTGTTCTCTGCTTCTCATCCATGTTAAAAAATACTTTCTCCATTGTCATCCACCTTATTAATTTCTGTCATCACAAATCTGGGCTCTGAAGCAGGATCCTTCCCAAGGTCTGAGCAGCAGCCCAACAAACAAACAATGTCTCCAAGGGATAAACAGTGAGTCCAAAACAGAAGGACAGCCACAGTAAACCCACCTGAAGTAAAAGCAGTCAGGAGCAGCACCAGACATGCCTGTTCTGACTCCTGCATGGAATCACAGAGACTGAAACTTCCTGTCACTACACAGAGCTACAAAGGTTCAACTGAGACCAGCAGGCAATCCTTCAACTCTACGTATTTTTAAGCAGATATCATAATTTTAAATATTACAGATAACCTCAGCATCAGAGAGGACAACAGTAGTGTATTTTGCTCAACCAAGATTACTCCTGCAGAGCACATCTCCCCACGAGCCTCTGCCTGTCAAGATAGAGGGCTCAAGGAGCCGCATTCAGTAGATGCCATATCTAAAAATCCATGTGCTTGCATTGTATAATCACCACTGCCTGTCTAGTTTGACCTTGGATTTTGCTAAGTGCAGGCATGTGATAGCATTTTTCTGTTCCATGGCTGTCCTCAACGTCCTCTTTCTCAAATAAATAATAAACAAACTCTTAACATGGCAAACTGATCCTGTTAACCATGACTTCTAAAGGCCTGAAAAAGCTTGGAGAAACTGAAAAGTAATGCAAATGGAATGACAGAGTAAGAGAAGGAGAACAGGAAGAGATGGAGGGAGGAATCCCTCTCTAATGTAAAACAATCTTCTTCTAGACTGAGACAGTGGCCTGGAAATTGTAAAAAGAAATAAAGTAAGAGAAAGAGCAATAAGAAAGTAGAGGTGACAGAAAAGTACAGCAAACTCCTTCACTTAACTGGGGAGCCTTGTCTGGACACCTCTGCTGCTGCACTAGCAAAAGGCACCGCTGACAATTTGGCCATGATGAAGTCACTCCTCCTCCTTTCTCAACAAAAAGGCCAACTGGGGTAACAACTGAGTATCAAGTACATGATTAAGACAAATACATGATTAAGACAAATACCAGGAAGACTTTTTTAATAGAAGTGCTGCAGAATAACGGGTATTAGCTTTGAAATGGGAGCAACCAAAGAATGGCCCATTACTTGAATTACAACAGAAAAGACCAGCACTAGTGTTTTATGCGTCAGACCAGACATAAAAGTCCTTCAAGACCAAAGAAATTACCAAAAAAGCATTCACAAAATTACAAATAGCAGACTGTTTGATGCAGCACACACTCTGAAACATCACAACATCATTGGAATTGCATTATGAACCGTAATACAAAGTACACCTTTTTTTTGCCACAAACTGATGTCTACCACTAAAACAGATAATCAAAGAGACCTCTTTTTCCTCCTACACTGACAACCAGAAACAAAAAAAAGGGCAGGGGGAAAAGACATACATGAAATAGGAACATAATGTATTTATGTTGGGAAGAAAAGATACACAGTATTGCATGGAAGCACAAGAAGCTTAATTGCTTAATAGCTCAGCTACTGACTCTCAAAGAAAATGTATTCTTTTATAATGTAATAAAACATAGTGAAGCAAGAAAAGTGCAAGTTTAACTTTTATGAAAAAGCAAACTCCAAAGCACATATAATAAACTAGTCAGGAAAATTGCATTACAAGGTTTGTAACTTCCAAAGTGCATTGCATCTACACTACATTGGCTTTGATCTTTCTGTTTAAGTTATTTTACAGATTGGGATACATAAATAATGGATTCCTCCTAGAACAAAAAAAAAAAAAAAAAAAAAAAGAACTAGAAAAAAGTAGCAAATTGCAAACTGTGAAGAAAGGCTCTAACTTGCACGTTAGATTTTACATCTACCATTTCAACACATTGTCCAAACAGAGCACTGGGCATTCAGAATCTTTTATGTTGCTGCTGCAAGAGAGAGAAACAAATTGCTCTTACCTGTGCTCCAACTCTCGGATGGACAATATAACTCCAGAAGTCGATGCCTTTTGTTGCAGAGTGGCCAGAAATGTGAACTCACTTCTGTTCTGGAAGAGCTGCATTAACTTCTCACTCACGTGGGGTGCTGCGTGGATTTCTCTTTCTGTATCTAAGAATTTTATTTTTAAAAGGAAACAAAAAAAAAGGGAGATAACAGTCTAGTAAAAATGCTAAGTCAGAAAGATTCAGATTACATTTTTCATTTTCACACCAATATTTTTTATTTTTGAGAGTCATCGGCCATGGTGCACCACTGCAATTTTTCCAATGAAAAAACCCAAATGCCATCTCTGTCAGCAGGTCCACTTGTCAATTTGACAAGTTCACAACTGGTCAGCTACTGATTTTCTGATGGATTTTTTGACGGGATGCCGAGCCATTTGTGTCTGCTGCGAGCAGATTAAGTTGCTGTAAATAAGGTGTGCTGCAGTCAGATAAACAGGGCCCTAAATTTGAGATCTCAGGCACTGCCTCTCCCAACACAATTCAGCAAGCTCCAATTTCAGTTTTCACCAGCGACTGTTACCACCTCTCCCTCGTACATCACAGGAAATGTGTCCTTGCACGGTGTAAGGCAGAGATGTATTATTGCTAATAATGCTATATGGCTGTGCTCCTGCCTGGGAAATAAATACAAGACACGCTTGCAATCCACGGCTGTTTCAGGGATTTCTCACTTTAAACAAGCAAAGTATGACAGCTCATACAATATTTATTGAACTACAGCCTGACCAGGCAGATGCAGAAACATTCCAGCCTCGCTAGCCCTGACGATGGCCAAGCAGCATCACACCTTCTCACAGCTCATCTTCTGAGACTCAAATGCATCATCCCCCACCACATTCATCTTTAACTCATCCTTTTACTCACTATGCATCATCATTACAAAACACAATTCATGACAAAGCAGAGAAATCATGGCATTTCACCTTCCTGTCCATTGCCAGCTCTCTCATGCTGGGCTTTTTTCACATTTTTGCAAGACCTGAGCCACTTGCAGTTCCTGGATGCCATAACCAATTAGAAACCCAGTGTGCTTGCTTTCCAAAGGTTTTACTGTGAAGCCAAAATGCTGGCACAAAGTCTCAGCTGGTAGAAAACCAGAGAAACTCCACTGAATGCTGAGAATCCAGCCCAGCATGCATGATGTAACACACAAAGGAGCGATGAAAATTACAATTCAGAATTTCACTGCAGAAGGGGAAAAAAAATCCCCAACACTTTAAAAAGGCTCCATTGTGTCGGTAAATGAGGCTTTGCAGACAGAGAGGAGAGAGACCAGCTTGGAAAACAACGTAAAGCCTCAAACACACCACTACTGGGGGAATGCCATGGACTGAAACCAAACTCCAAGGAAAAAGCATTCAAGCACGTTTGGCAATTGGGTGTCTCCATTTGTCCTGTACAGCCTAAAGCCCTCCAAAGGAGCATGCACCCCCAGACTAGGACTCTGAAAGGCTCACTGGTGAAAGCACCAGTTAGACATCCAAAACCACCAGGCATCATTTAAAAATCTTTGCTACGGGCCCAAATTCCCCTGATAAATAAATATATAGTGCCCACTTTACAGCAACAAACTATTTGTCTGTCCAGTGCCACTTTTACCAGAGCAGAGGATAAAGCTTCCAGGAGCAGAAATCATCTCCACTGCCATCCTATAGTGGAACAGAAGAAAAAACAATCCAGCACAGAACACCGGATTTTGTCTTTATCTATTAGCTTTTTCTATCTGCATCATTATCTTCACCTAGCAGGTGTTATTACTGGTCATAAATATCATGCAGTTTCTTTTTAAAAAGCTGATACAAGAGATACAAAACTATGTCTCCCACAGACCCATAAATTCACCAATATCCAGTGTGCTATCTACAGAAACAGACAACACACTGGTACTGTGTTCCAAGGCACAAGTAAGACTCAGAGGTAAAATATCCCAGACCTGACAGATTAAGATTACTATCATTGTTTGAAGGTTAAAAACCTTCATATCTTACTCTTTTTTTCCCTTAAAGGTGTTACAGTTACCAGAAATAAAATATGACTTAACAAAGCTTTCAAAAATTCTTTCACATGAAAGAATCTGCCTCTCACAGGCAGTGCTGTCAGTGGAACATATATGTTTAAACTTCAGTCAAGCCTTGCAAAGTACAACAGTTTCTCATTATAGGAAGGCCCACATCCCACCACCCATCCATCAAGTTTTATACAAAAATATAGGGCTCCTTGCTCAGAATCATCCATGGTTCATCAGTGCACTGACTATTTCAGTTAGAAACATACTTGGAAACATTTTGCTATTCTCTACCACCTCTTCATAAATAAGAGTATACCAAAACCACATGAAACCCTGATATTCATTCTCTGCTGATTAAAATCAGTACGATTCCAGAGTGTTGGGTGGAAACCACTGGGTAACAAATGGTATTTACAAAGTGCTTGCAACACTGTGCCAGTGTAATTGGTACAAAGGGAATTACATAACCAAGCTTTTAGAAAATTAACATACATCTAACTATAGTGTGTGCATATATATGTAATATATATACACTATATATATACACTATATATATAGTATAGATACTATATATATGTATACACATATACACTGTATACACTATATATATAGATATTTATATAGATATATATATTAGACAGATATTTTTAATATATATATATATATATATATATATATATATAATCCCAGGCACACAGCCTGGGATTCTGGAGCTGAGCACAGCCTGGCCTTGCAGCTGGAACCCCAGGAGTGGGAAGGAGAGGTTTTGAGGCCAACACTGCATTGTCCATGTCCTGTCCCATGGCACAGCCCCCACAGCAGCACCTGCCCTCACACACAGCATCCCCAGGAACACTGGGTTTGTGTTCTGCTTGATTTCTGCAGAAAACACCATACAAATGAGCTGGGAGTACAGCCCATTTAGAATAAGAGCCTTCCATTTTCAGGTAGATTTTCACACTTCAAAATAAAAAAAAAAATAGAAAAAAAAATGAGAATACACACACCCCCTCACCACAGGTGCCTGAAAGGTAAAATACTTTTTATGCTCTCCATAAAAATAACTGTCTGCTTGTAATGAAATGTCATATTTCCTACATAATACAGAACAATATAGGTTTATACAGCAATCTTCAGTGAAACATCGCTTCATGCTTGAATGATAATGCAATCTCAGCAAAATAAATAAACAAACACAGCTACGACTTTCATATGCCCTTCTATGTGATTATATTTCCTTAATTTGAAATAGTGACTGTCTGGAGGGTTTTTTAAAACATACCAGGGTGTTTCTGAAATTAATCAAAGAAAGAAAGCAAGCATATTTGCAAGTCCAAGAGACAGAAATCATCTCAGAGCATCAAGTAAAGGCACCTTTCTACCTTCAGCAGAACAAAGGCACACGACACACCTCTGTCAGAGAGAGCATATGTGTAGCTTGATTTTAATTCTTAAGCTGTGGGTCCAAGGAAGAAGCGCCAAACACAAACCAAAGGTCCGGTTTGCCAGAACAGACAGCAGTAACCATCTAGGTACTGCCTTGTCCCCTCCCTGGCACCATCTCCCCCACCACCAGCAATGCCACTGTAGGGGGACAGAGCATAAGTAAATAAAGGAAGTGTTAAATGTCATTTACCTCCTAAAGACTTGCAGTTGAGCTAATTATTGAGGATTAGGAGCAGGCCTGATGTTAACAGGCCACAGCTGTAGCCAGTCAGAAGAGTGTTATAGAAGAGCAGATTGGTTGGTTGAGGCAACTGAAGTCAGCTGGCCCCTACAAGGCAGAGTCAGTGCCTGGAGGAGCTGCCCACCAGAAACATCAAGGAGGTACAAAACTGTGGCAAATGGAACCCTTGCACTGACAACATGCCACCTTGCCCTGTGCTGGATGCCCTGTCCCCTGAGAGCCCATTCAGCCCCGCCAAGCCAAAAGGAGCTCCAAGAGGAACCAGCAGCCAGGGCTGCCCTGCCACAGGGGCTCAGCACCCACAGCACACACCCTGAGCCACACACAGAGATTTCACCCACACTGGAGCTACTCACAGCACTCACCATCAGCACCTTCAAAAGAAGTCTCAAATTTAGGGGTGTTTTCACTTTCCCATAAAACCAAAGGAATGGCAATGCTGCTCTGGGGCCAGGCTTTACCTCACTCATACAAACCATTCAGACACTTCAGTGCACACTAACCCTAAATGCCAAATGGAATTAGGCACAACAATGTGAAAAATGCATGTATTTTATGATTGGCTTTTGGCAAATATTGAAATGGATATTATATGTGTTGTGTTATAAAGTAATGCTGTATTAACGCTCTTAAGTAGTGTGTTAAATATAGTTTTAGGTTATAAAAATTGTTAAAATAGAAACTATGCTATGTAGGATACTTTTTTTAAAGAAAGGACTCGCACTGAGATAGCAGCCACAGAACACCTGAATCTTTCAGAGAAAGAGAATTTACTTCCCCATTATCAAGAGAAATGAACTTCTTCCCACCTCAAAGGCACTGTCAGGATTCAGAGGAAGGAGCTGACACTGCCCAGACAGAATCCTGTGTTTGAATGGAATTTATGCATCATGGATGAGGTGTATGAATATGCAACAGGCTGTTGTTTTTAAGGGTTAATCTCTGTTAACGTGGGGCCTTTTTCGGGCTTGTCCTGCCCATAAAAGGTACCTGAACCATCAGTAAGTGTCTCTATTGTCTCATATTGTCCTGATTCAAATTGTTCAAATTATTATTACTCTAATTGTATTACTATTTTTATAACCATTTTATTACTCTTAAACTTTTAAAATTCTAAAAACAAGTGATTGGCTGACTTCACAATAACTCAGGATCAGCATCAGCCCTTACCCCACCTGATTTAGACCCTCAAGTCACATCTTTGTGTGTGGATTCAACACTCTGTGCATCACCCTCTCTAGTAACTCAAAAGTGAACCTCAGGCTTCTGCCATTTGTAACCCTGAACACATCAGAAGCCCCAGTTAGGAGAAATTCAGAGTTGGCATCAGCTCCATTAAGTGTAATAAAATCACCACCACACAGAAGGAGACAAAATGAGCTGGAGAAGGAAAAGGACAATGCTAGGA